ATGTTAATATCACTGCCTTTCCTTCAGAGAATCATTCATTTTACTGGAGTGCACTAAAGGAGAGACAATATTAAAATGAACAGGCTGCATGTAATCAGATGTTAAAGCGGACCCCCCCTTTCACTAAAAATCACATCAGCATGCCGGTCTGCATGCTGCTTTAAAATCATATTACATTCATTAGTTAAACAAACATGATTTTCATTTACTTACAAATAGAGTTCATCCACTTCCTGGTCCACTTTGGCACAAATTATGTAATCGTGCCCAAGCATTGCATTCTGGGAAGGTTACTTCATCAGAGCATTGTTGGGAAGTCTCAGGGAAAGACATTTTTCTTCCCTTGATATGATATGCAGGATCACATGTCCTAGTCACATGTGCCAGAGTTCCAGGAAGTAAAGGGAGATATACACTGAGTGGCCAGATTATTATGACCACCCCATCAGTACTTCGTTGGGCCACGAGATGACTCCACGAGATGACTTCGTTGGGCCGCCTCGTGACTCCACGAGATGTTGAAAGGTGATGCGAGGAATCTGACACTGCACTGTTGCCCTTCTGTTGTCTTGTACCAGTCTTGCCACTCTCCGTTCTGCCCTAACATTGACTAGTCGCTGACGGCCACAATTCGCACGTTCAGACCCAGATTTTCGGCTGACAGTCCAGTCTTTAAACACTTTAACAATGAGCCCCTCTTGAACATTTAACGAATTCTGCTGTTTTGCTGATACTCGCTCCATGGCTCCAAGCACCAACAATCATCCCGTTCAAAGGCTGTTAAATCGCGTTGTTTACCCATATCTTCAGAAAAAATCACTTCTACTGTCGTGGTAAACAACTTGCTTCCCTATTTATAATGGTCTGGCCCTCTAGCAACTTCAGCGTGAAATTATAGCTAATTTGCCTACAAACGTCAGGTGGTCATAATAATCTGGCCACTCAGTGTATTAATCTGAAGAATAATGAGGAAAAGAGAAATACGATATGCAAAGAATAACAAGCCAACAATTATCTGTAAGTATCTGTGTGTAGATTGTAGATTGCCATTACTAAACATTTCTAAAGGTGTCTTTGTTATTATAAATATATGGGTGAAGTTCCTCTTTAAAACTGCTTCTTTCTGTCTTCTGCTATATCCTCCACAGCCTCTACCCTTAAAGTAATTGACTTTTTTATTGCCAGCAGAATGTGTATCCAGTGAATGATAGATGTATAAAAAAAGGGGTACTAATGAGTGATTCACACTCTGATCACAATGTTTACGTTTTACAATCTCCTAAAAGCTTTTTTTCTATTCTGCCTACACAACCAATTTAAAGGAAAATACCAATCATCCATTAAGACCTGTGTTGAAATGTAGCAGCCTACTATACTTTTGTTGATAATCTTTTTTAACCTGAATATTAGAGGTATATTATAACAAACCCACTGAAGGCTCTGTGATATGTGTGAAAAGCAGCATCTGATCTATTAAAGAAAATCTAAACCCAAAAATACTGTATATTGCAGCTTACCAGTCCTTAGACGTCGTGGCTGCATTCGTTTTTAGGCTAAAAACATTTTTTTAGCAAGTACAGAGTATCCTTGTTGATCTTGCAAGAAATACAATATCCTTGTCACAATAAAATGTTGTCTTCCTTCTGTAAACTACTGATCTCCCTATGCCCTATGTAATAGAGATAAGGTCCAGCCTGTATGACATCTATGGCTTCCTCCATAGGTGCAATGAGTGAGTGGACATTGACACCATGGGACAGGAAGCACCAGAGTACCAGGAGTAAACAGAGTAAAACAATGTTAAAAAAGGAAACTAATGCAGCCACCAAATCTAAGAACTGCTAATCTGCAATATATTACATTTCTGTGTTTGTGTTTAGATAAGCTTTAATCTACAACAGTCAGGGTAGATTAGCTACTACAATGCCTAACTGCTACAGAGTCGGCTAACTTATAGCTGTAAATTGTGAGAAAGTAATAAAGCACAATGATTGTGTAGGACTGCAAAGCAAGAAGCAAAGTCTGAGCATAGAATGCCCCTATTCACAAAAATAATTTTATATATATATACAGCGAGTCACAATAACAAAGCGTACACCATTAAGGGATCATACTCATGTACATCTGCTAACGTGGTGTATATGATACAGTGTTCAGCATGTGACAAAGGTTGTTACATTGGGGAAACTGGCCTTAAGCTGCATCTCAGGATGAACCTACACAGGAGCTCGATCAAGAACCACAAAGAATATGAATATTGCACCCCAGTAGGACACCACTTCTCCCAGAAAGATCACTCCATCCAAAACCTCATTATTAAAGTACTGAAAGGGAATTTTAAAAACTCTCATGAAAGAAAAACATTTGAGATGAAAATGATTTTACATTTCAATTCCATAAAGGAGGGACTTAATGTGGATTCTGGTTTTCTGACACACTACCAGAACTTTTTATGAATATACAGAACATAATAATATTCATGTATGTCGTATATCCCTGATCTGTTTAGGATTTATTGGTCATCCTATGTTTATCTGTTCTGTGTTTTAGTTATCAGGATACATTCTTTACTCCCAGGTCCAACATTTATGACACCCACTCACCCCCCCTCCCTAACAACTTTCTCTTGCTTTCATTGGTAAACATTGTCATGTTGATTAGTATTGCTTCTGACCTGAAGAAGAGAGGTTAACTCTCGAAAGCTTGTCTTTTATATATTTTGTTAGTCCAATAAGAAAGGTATCATCGCATACTACAATACTCTGTTTTTTTTTTTTTTACATCTTCTCTACTGGACTAATAAAAACAAAAAAACAAACACAAGGGCGCAAAGCAAATACAAAGCTAACTGACTGGACAGAACATTGCAAAGCAGGAAAAGATTATGCACTTACTTATGTGGGTCTGAGGACCGGATAAGGAACGACCTGTGGGGAGGATCGGGATGCCCAAGGTGTATGCTCAATCCAGGCTTGTCCCAAGGGGGAGAGAGAGGGGAGAATGGTAGACGAGGGGACGGATGGCGGAGCAAGGACTTCATCCGTGTCCTCAGTGCTGGAGTGGGAGATCCAGGCGGTGTGAAGGAGACTGGGCAGTATAGCGTCTGGCTGAGCTGATGTGGCTGTAGCTGTGGATGGTGAAACTCAGTGTGTGTGTGGACCGAGATGTAGCAGTGTGCCCGGGCCGTGATAACGGCAGTAGAGGGAGACCGACAGGGAAGCCGGCAGAGTGGTCAAGTCAGTGACAGTCGATCCTCCAACCTACGACGGCAGTAGAGGGAGACCGACAGGGAAGCCGGCAGGGTGGACAGACTGAGTTTCACCATCCACAGCTGCAGCCACATCAGCTCAGCCAGACGCTATACTGCCCAGTCTCCTTCACACCGCCCGGATCTCCCACTCCAGCAGCGGGGACATGGATGAAGTCCTTGCTCCGCCATCCGTCCCCTCGTCTACCATTCTCCCCTCTCTCTCCCCCTTGGGACAAGCCTGGATTGAGCATACACCTTGGGCATCCCGATCCTCCCCACAGGCCGTTCCTTATCCGGTCCTCAGACCCACATAAGTAAGTGCATAATCTTTTCCTGCTTTGCAATGTTCTGTCCAGTCAGTTAGCTTTGTATTTGCTTTGCGCCCTTGTGTTTGTTTTTTTGTTTTTCACATTTACAGGTACTCCTCCTGTTTCCCAGGGCTGCATGTTAGTTAGTGTTACACAATCAATTTTTCTAGGGCCAATCCGAGAGCGCTGTTTGTGCTGTCTTTGTTTTTTTTTTGTTCTACTGGACTAATACGGCTTACCCATTTACATTACACTATATATATA